ATGATCACACAGGCTGGTGTGCTTCTTCCATGTGGGCTTTGTTGCTTCTCAGCTAGATGGCCGCTTGTTTATCTTCAAACCTTTTAGACCCTTTGATAGCCAGGCACCGTCAGCTTTTTTCAGCACATTTCCTTATGCACCCATTTTGTCTTCAGTGATCGTGTTGGGAAGGTGAGCATCACAGAATACCTGTTTATTAGAACAAAGTGTTCTTGTGTTGACGGAGTACTTGAGTAGAGGCCCAATATCCGTCTGCTACGTTAACTTATGAATAGAGGAAAGAACTAGGAGGCAAAGGTCATTTATTGAAGTCTAAATACAGGCATGTACATATGTGAATATATTTATATATGATAGGTAAATAGATCTATTTACATAAATTTAGATACAAAAAAAATTCTTACAGAGCTTCTTGTAATAGATTTGACCTTTATGGTTAGCTACTGCTTATACTAAATTTCTTCATAGCTGGTTAATAATTTTGATATTATTGAATTTTTTGCCTCCACTTAAGTTTTAGTAGTAATTAAAAATATACTTTTCTTACAATTTAATTGGAAGAAAAATTTGAAATAGACTAATTCTGTTAAGACACTAAGCCACATAAAATTTTAAGACAACTAGTATTCAAGATATTTCCACCTCACCTTGTAACATAAAATTGGGTGTAACTATGGGAGTTAAAGAAGTAGATGGTTTGTTGCCCTCAAACTGTCTTTGACTTTATGTAAGGCCTTTCTTGTTGGCACTGGTCTCAAGCTTCTTAAATTCAACCAAATGATTAAGGACATAGGTACTTTTTACAAATACGTTTTACACACAGATTCTTTTTGAGTAATTCCCATCGGCTTACTGGAGGTTGTATTTTCTGTATGTGCATGGGCTTCAAAATGCTCATGGAAAAGTATAATTAAAGATGATTGCATTTTCCATGAACTTTTGGAAGCCCTTACATATCTATATGCTGTAGCTCTCACAGACCTCTCTGTAAGTGCTCCGCTTCTTTTGTATCTTTTTCTCTGTGCTTGTTTTTTTTGTTTGTTTCATAGAATTCCTATAGTCTACTTAATCATTAAGCCATAATAGCATAATCTTTTCACCTTAGTTTCATCACCTTTAATGTAGAAGTAAAAATAACTAGTCTATCTGTTCTTCAGAGGAATAATGCTATATAGATGTAGAGGGTCTTAATCTATTTCAACAAATAAATTAAGTAGAAATAAAATGGAATCTAATTTTTATTATAAATCTGTATAAAATGCTGTTGCTGCTTATAAATATTATGTAACCTCACTACATTATAGAGAACAAAATGTTAGAATTATAATTTAAGAAGTGTGATATTCTTTTGCCCCTAGAAATTGGTTTAGTCAGTCTTTTTAATTTTTAATAGAGTAAATAATATAAATTTATCATTCATAATTCACAATTATATGCATTGATGTTTGTGTTCAAGAGTTTTAAAGGTCCTTTCTCTGGTAGGAAAATATGAGTGCTAGATTCTTAATGGTAATTGTATTGCTATTTGTGTTGCTGTTTATTTTTATGAAAGTCTTATTTTAATGAATGAAATAGTACTGATGTTAAGTAAATTCTATAATATGTTTACATATTTCTAAATATATAAAGTATGAAGTTTTGCTACAATGCTATTGGTTTAGCTTTTACCTGTTTTTACGAGTTTGTCATTCTTTTGTAGCCACTGAAGCTTTAACATTTAAGATTAACTTTTTTGAATCATTTTTCAGGGAACCCAAATTGAGATGTCTATTGGAATTATTTTGGGAATTTCAACTATGGCAGGTATTTAATGATAGTGATTTTATAGTTCTATTGTCCATATTAATAAAATATTTTAGTAGGTTAGGTTTAGAAGAGAATAATATGTTATTTATACGTTTATCAAATGAGATATCTAATAATATATTTCCTTAATACTATTCATCCTCTTGGTTTGGTGTTTAAAGCACTTTTTTCTGAGACCTGTAAGTACTTTATCATAGTTAATAGGCAACAGTATTCTGCTACATTGACTATATTAAAATAATTCTTTAAGAAACATGTTACCCCTAAAACCTCTCTACCCTGTGACCATGGGTCTCTCTTAAAATATTTATCTTCCAAAACCCACTGCTAGGGAGTTGATTCCAACTTAATAGTGACCCAGTGAGGGTTTCTGAGACTTTGCAAAATTTTACGGAAGCAAACAGCCTCATCTTTCTCCTGAAGAGCAGCTGGATGGTTTGAACCACTGCCCTTGAGGTTAGCAGGCTAAAGCAGTCTGCCTGACAGTACTACCAGAACTCCTCAGTGTGGTCGAAAAATCCAAGAAGGAAATACAAGATTGAAAATCTAATTTGATTTCATCTTCTCCTTCCTCCATTACCATTCTTAAAAAAAAAAAATTTCCCTCCGATTTTTATTTTATCTGTAAGTAAACTAAAATCATGGACATTTTGGTTTTGCTGTTTACCTAGGTTAGTTGTTATTAGGTGGAGCTTGCTTAGGCTTCCTTTTTGAACCTCAGTTTCTTCAAAATGGGATAATGTAGCCGACATTTACTTAAGGTAACAATGCATGCCTAGTGCCTGACATTTAGAAACTTGATGCATCTCAAACAATGCCCATCTTACAAAGAGGAGTTTTGTTGTTGTTTTAATGAGTATTTTTTTATGTTATATAAAGTTCTCATAGAAAATTATGTTCCCATTTGGCAATTTAACACAAGTTGTTCAGTGACATTAACTGGCACAGTGGCTTCAACAATGGGCTCAGGCATTGAGTTGGTTGGTGTGGGACTGATGGAGCAGTGTTTCCTTGTTCTGCTGTCAGGTCACTGGGAGTTGGGAGTGACTCCATGGCACCCATCAACAGCACACATTGTTCAGGAACATTATAGTTTGCATAATATGTAAACATTCTCATTCATTATATTCTGATAGCTCTGCCCAAATCTGAAGGAAAGGAAATTTGAGAATGTCTCTGTGTTATGTTTATTGTACAAAGGAAACATGAGGGAAGTAAATTTAGAGAGCATTTCTTGTTATCTTTATTGAATTTCAGATATACATTTGGCTTTTTATTTCAGTTTTCAAATATTGAAATTCCTTTAAACAAATATCTGAAAATTAAGACACAAAATGTGATGCTGTTGGGTGTTTTACTGTTTAAACCAAAATGGAACTGGCAGCACAGACAAAAGAAAACCCCAAAACTATTGCTTAATATGAGCAGAATTGTGTCTTATTATGCAATATTGATATTCAGAGCTATTTAATGAGTGACTTTGGCTATGGTATTATAGTTTGAGAAATATGATAATTCTTCCAGACTAGTGTTTTATTGATCACATATGATGTAATCATTCTCTGGCTTTTCTATAACAACTCACTTATTAATTTTCAATCTTTAAGCTGCTGCTTTGGGGAATCTCGTGTCGGATTTAGCTGGACTTGGGTAGGTTTGTTCATCTATTCATTTGTGCATATGTACCTCAACTCTCTCCTTCCTGTTATAATTTAGGAGCATGGCAGAAAGGGGGGGGTATGTGTTTTTCTCCTTGTGTTTTAGAATTAAATTTTTAAATTTAATTTTCTACATCATTAGTGCTAAATTTGTGTTGTGATTCAGAATTGCTCATAGAGCTCATGGAACTATCGCCTTCATTGGGTCCCAGGCAAGCAGAATTGGTTTCTGTGGCTATGGGCCCCTGCATAAGCAATAATCTTTCTAAGCCATTCTCTGACATACACATCCCTTCAACCTACTATATATAATCCAATACATTCCAATGCAAATAAAATTGAAGTTTGATTTACGCAAATGCTAGGATTTTGTGGCCAGGAGTCCCCATCATCATACCACTGCACTCCTCTCCTACCAAGCTCAGAGATTAGTCATGTGACTCATGTCTGAAGATACTGAGTGGGCATGTTTTTTTAGAGCTGAACTGTCAAACAGAATAATGTCCAAAATGTGTGGAAGTGTGGCCCATTTTGCATGTTCGTTTCCTTTATTCCATGCGGCAGGGATGATGAGACAAATTGAGGATGTCTATTTCCTCAGTAAAGACTCAGATTTTTCCTTTTTCTCAGCTTACATCCTCTCTTCCAAGTGAAAGGTGACCTGGTTTTTCTCCCCCAGTTTAGGGAAGGCCTGCATTGGATAAATTAATTAGGTATTGTGTTAAGCCCTGCTTTCTTATTGTCATTGGCTTTGTATCTACCTTCTTTGACTCATTAGAGTGGCAGATTTTGAGATTTAGATTTAGGCTTGGTAAGAATCTTCTTAGCTCCATAATCTAGGCGAGGCAACTCTGGTTAATTCTCTCTATTAGATTATCCATGAGAGTTTGCAACCAAAGCTACTGTTAAAAATTAAATTTCCTTGTTTTGGGGCCTAGACAGAAATTTTATATTCCTGTAATATCTGGCATAAATCTATCACAATTAAATACTGTATTTTTTAGTTCCCCACATTAAAAGATAATAATGATAATATTAAGGCTACTGTGATAGCTTTCTAATATATTTAATAGAATCAAGTGAAATAATAGATTTTTGAGTAATTTATTTTTAGATTGTATCATAAAACTTATTTTTGCTTAGAGATGAAAATTTTTGTTGGACGTTTATATATTTAAGAACTATTCTGCTTTTTAATATCACATTTTACTGATTTTGAGATGTACTTAAAAATCCAACATATCTGATATACGTATTAATCTTATAATTGATGGTATGCATAGTTTACTTGGCAATGTTTTTATAGTTTTATAGTTCAGAGAATATGATTATGCTCAATAAGTTGACCTCGAATTACTAAAAAAAAGCTGACAATTTCTCTGAAAATTCTAGTTGGTCTCTCATTGGCATAATAAATTTTTGAAACTTTTACTTTATGATGCTAATTATGAACTTATATCACAAGTTAAAGTACTTTGCATTCTGAAAAGTACAGAAATTGTAAATACTGGTATGTTATTTTTATGTCCCTTGACTGTTTATAGTAAAAATAGAGAACAATTGCTCAATAATAATTTATTTAGTAAATATTCAGGAAAAAGATGAGGCTTTCTGCTTCCATAAAGATTTAGACAGTTCTTTGTCCTATAGGGTTAATATGAGTCAGAATTGACTTAATAATATGGGTTTGGTTGAGCCAGCAAGAAATATGTTAATATAAAATATTTTAAAAATTGGATATATTGACATAATTAAAAATGAATCTTGAATAAAACATTTGAGACAGTTTGTGGAGTGCCAGTTACTGGCATAAAATTATCTTGTTTCTGTTTGTAGTAATTAGTCTTTTACTATCTGAGAACATTTGGGCGTCCATTTAAAATCCTGTACTCTGCCTTCTTGTTTTTTTTAAAGACTTGCAGGCTATGTGGAAGCCTTGGCATCCCGGTTAGGCCTTTCAATTCCTGATCTCACACCAAAGCAAGTTGACATGTGGCAAACTCGAGTTAGTGCACATTTGGTAAGTACTTTGTGTGGTTTATGATAATGAATCCGGATGGCTAGGCAAGTCACCCTATTACTCAGTCCCGTGATACATTTAAGACTAAAATTGACCTGAGTGATGTTTTTAACAAAACTTGTTTATGCTTTGGCAGTTATAGAGGAAAATAAATGTTTTAAATTGACTTTTTACTTTTGTAGAGGTATTGATTAAAAAATAATCCTCATGTAGTTAAGTTAATGTAAAGGAGTTTTTATTATGTGTTAAAGACTGCAGAGCATAAAATGAATAATTAACTATACTTATCCTAGAAGAATTTGTTTTAGTGGAGTACCAGAAATGTAAACATTGAGTGCGACATTTGCAGTAATAGAAGTGTGTGCACCCAAGTAAAGGAGTGAACATTCTGTAGAGAGAAAGTTCTTTTGGTGTGGATATTTCTTGGGAATTACTGGTTCTACGTCGATTTTAAAATTATGGCACATGTACTAGGTGAACAGGAACATTCTAGGTATATTGACTGGCCAGCACAAGGGTGTGACAAAACAGTGTATTGAGAAAAAGACAGACATTGGACATTGCTGGAATAGAATATGCACGAGTTGCTGGTAGATAGGAACAACATTGTGTGTGCTAGGTGAAAGAGCTAGAACCTCACACCTAGATGATGGGAAGCTTGCAATAAGTGTTTTAAAAGAGGAAATAAGACAGACAGAAGCCACCATCAGCTAAGCCAAGGAAAACAGAAAGAACTATTACGTAGGGAAAATAACGAGTTCTCTTTTGGACTTGGTGAATTTGAGATGCTATCACATGATCACACGTAGTAGACATTTGGGTTCAAGGTCAAGAGCCAGAGAGGTCTGTATTAGACACGATGGATATGATTGTTCATTCAGTTGGTAGATACTAGTTCTTTACCCTGTGGGTGCAGTGGGTTAAATGTTGGGCTGCTAGTTGTAAGGTGGGTGATTCAAACTCATCATCCCCTCCATTGGAAAAGATGAGGCTGTCTGTTACTCTGAAGATGCAGTGTCTGAAATCTGGAGGAACAGTTTCACTCTGTCCTGTCGGGTTCCTGAGTCAGAATCAGTTCCTTAGCAGTGGGCTTGTGTGTTACGAGCCCTGGTGGCCGAATGGTTAAATGTTCAGCTGTTAATCAAAAGGCCAGCTGTTCAGGCCCGCAATCGCACCAGCTGCTCTGCAGGAGAAAAGTGTGGCTGTCTGCTTCCTTCAAGGAGACAGCCTTGGAAACTCGGGATCGCCTTAATGGGAACAGCGTTGGTGTTTTGGTTTTATGTGTTCTGAAGATACCAGTTAGCAAAAAGGCCTTCTTTGTCCTACCGTATCATTCCCTCCCATGCAGGGGGAGGACAGACAGTAAACAAACCTCATAATGTTAAGACGGTAGAAGAAGAAGAGAAACTTTACTAAGCCAAACTAAATGAAGGAAATCATAAAGATTAGAGAGGAACTTAATAAAGTAGAAAAATAATAAAAAACATCGATGAAACCAAAGTTGCTTCTCTGAAAAGATACAGCTTTTAGCTGAGTTGATCAAGAAGAAAAAAGAAGACTCAAATTATTAGAATAGTAATGAAAGCGGAGATTGTCCACGGACCTTATACATTCCTTGTGGCTGCTAGGTGCCGTCGAGTCGGTTCTGATGACTCATCATGATCTTATAAGAAGGAAACACTGCCGTTCTACACCATCCTCAAAATCGTTCTTGTGTTTGAGTGCATTGCTGCACCCACTGTGCCAATCTATTGTCCATGGTCTTCCTCTTTTTTCACTGCCCCTCTGCATTACCAAACATGATGTCCTATCCTGACAACATGTCCAAAGTCCGTAAGGCCAAATCTTGCCCTCTTGCCTCTAAGGAACATTCTGGCCGTACTTCTTCCACGGCAGATCTGTTCTTTTGGCAGTCCATGGTACTTTGAATATTCTTCAATAGCAGCTTCATTCAGATGCATCAGTTCTTCCTTGGTCTTCCTTATTCCTTGAAGGATGCAAACCACCAAAACTGACCCAAGAAGAATAGAAAATCTGACAGACCTCTAATAAATAAAGTCATTGTGTTAGTAACCAAAAACTACCTATAAAGAAAAATCAGGCAAAAACCAAATCCATCTGGTTGATGAATTCTACTGAACATTGAAAGAATATCAGTTGTTCACAAATTCTTCCCAAAGAATGGGGAAACGTGTCAGTCCAGCTCACTGAGGTGGTTCTCTTTTTGCTGACCCTCCTCCAAGCGTGACGTCCATCACGGGGGACTGGTCTCGTCTGACAACATGCGAAACACGTTGCCCTCCTCTCTGCTAGGGGAGGGCACCCTGGGTGTGTTTCTGAAACGGGCTTGTTAATTCTTCCAGCAGACCATCTTTCATTTCTTTCTCCTGGGAAGGGGCTGTTGGCTTCAGACCACTGGCCGTGTGTTTAGCAGCGCAGAGTATGATTATTAGGTACAAATAGAGGTAAATGTTGAAAAGGAATAAATATAATCATAGCAAAGATTGTATTAAGCTCACTACCTTAAGTTGTTAAAATACGAGTACAATATCAAAACCATTTTTTACTTGACTATTTAATTTTTTCCCCCTTAATGTTGTTTTTATAGCAATTTGAAGGGAAAATTTCTGGTTGCTTTTCAGAACTTGAAGTATTACTTATTTTAGAACATTTTGGCAGATTATTTTTTAGTTGCATAATTAGGATAAGAAATACAGCCTCGGTTAAATTTGATTGTATATAGTAATTGTCTATTTTTATGGATATTCGGGAATAAAAAGACTTTATTTTTGTTTCTTTTGTTTCTCAGGGCAAAGCTGTTGGAGTGGCGATTGGCTGCATATTAGGAATGTTTCCCTTGTTTTTCTTTGGCGGAGGTGAAGAAGATGGAAAACTGGAAGAGAAAAATAAACTCTCTTAGAATACTTACGAAAAGATTTAAACTAATGTACCTCAATTATTAAGTATGCTGTCACAACATTTAGGAATTAAGACAGTAACAGTGTATAGATATGGGAACAAATAATTCAGCATGTATTTTGGAAAACACTAACTTATTGTGGCTTGGTCTCCTTAGGACATCATCTTTTGAAAAATGGTTTAGCGTTATTTTATGTAAGTTGCTGGAAGGGCTTTTTTATCACCAACAGCCAACATTTTATCTTTCCCTTTTCTGTCTTTATATATCCAACTATTTAAATATCAGTCACTGACGTACTGTACTGATTTGGGGTTTATGTATTTGATACGTAACATGTATGGATACATGAAAGCATTTGTTGTTATTGTTATTCCCTGGTAGTTGGTTACAATTAACCTTAAGATTTTTCCAAATTATTTAAGATGTTTATTATCAGCTCAAAATTTCTTTTATTTGCTTTTTGGTAACATCAGTTTCGTACTGTTTCCACAGTAAACATAATCCAATCATATTTTATTCATTTCTTAATTCTCATGTCCATTCAAAATGGACACAATTTAAAAAGTACTTTAACTGTTACTTATTTTAAGTTCCTGACCTTAACTGTCTTAAGAGCCAAAGCTTGAGAAGAATGATCATGTGTGGTCCCTGCTACATAAAACCATATATGTTAACAAGTGTACTTATCTCTAGTTAATTTTTTTAATCATTAATTTCCCAGCTTTGAATGATTACCATGGTGAGTTCTAACTTTGGAGGTAGAGAAAACTATTATTTTAAGAATCTTTGTAATGGAGACTGTGAAATTAGGTGAACTAAAATATTTTCCAGGACTCTTGAAACTTAAAAGGGCAATTTTTATATGCAAATAGGAAATGGGAGTGATCTAGGAGCTTATGCTAAAAGTGATGACACCGAGAGCTGTGTGGAAGGTTAGTGAGACACAAACGATATTGAGAGCGGTCGTTTCCCCAAGAGGAATCGCAGAATCTGAATGCTCCGTGCGCACAGCCAGGGTGCCGTGCTGTCTTCCTTCGTGAATTGATTTCTAGATAACTTCTTTTGAGGTGAAAATGAAACATTTTCTACTTTCAATTTTTTTGTTTTGTAGTTTAATAGACAAAAGTTCCAGAGGAGGAATCCTTGCTTTTTTTTTTTTTGGGTCTTTGTACTTTTGTGGTTTTTAAAGCATATTCTAGGTTCAAGCTACTTGTTTCTCTCGCAGTCTGACTTCAATATTGCTATGTATATATCATTAATTTTAATATTCTTAAAGTTAATCCTTAAAGTTTTTTAGCATGTGGCGTGTGACACTTGCTAAACATTTTACTCTTGCTTGTAAGAGTAATTGAACACATCATGGAAGAGATATTACATTTATTATTATTAAATTGGAACTAAAGTTGCTGTTCGGGCCATTGAAATTATTTGTGCTATACAGAAGAGAGCCGTGCGCTGGCTGCATGTCCAGCAGTCTTCTCATACAGTTTTGTTGGCACATATTTACTCAGAGCTCCTATTTTCAAAGGAGCTTTTTCCACACAGCAACTTGTCACACATTCTCTCTGTGCATTTCAAAGTGGCTTATGCTGCCTTTTCATCACGGCCTTAGAAGGGGGAAAAGAAGACGAGTTCTGTTCATACAATATAAAAATAAAATATGTGTCACTCTTATAAATTTGAGTTTTGTTTGATCACATCAGAATTCTAGAACTTGAAATGTTAAACACAGTTGTGGGTTGTATCTCTCGCATTATTCCATACACACATATATAAGACATTTTAACATAAATGGCTAAGTGCTTTTGTCATGGGCTTGTTTACTACTAGTCTTTTGCGTTTTAAGAAGATATTTTATTGTGGCCAGTTTATCTCTTACCCAAGCCCCATAATTCAGAAATCTTGCTCATTGAGTTTAGAAAGGGCTTTTGGACATAATCCAGCCCTACAGACTCAGTCAGTCAGACACCTTCAGGGTTGGTGAAGGCATGGAAACACAGCAAAGAGCATTTTACTCACGGACAAAATGAACACGGGAAGCACTCAGGCCATTTTAAAAATGGAGACCTTTTGTCATTGACTGAAGATGCACATTATGCAAGAAATTATTTTGTGCTGGTGTGTTACTGTGCACAATGATTTCTGAAGAGTCGTTCTCTAATAAAGGTGGTGATTTCATAGAATGATAATTTGATGCTACGTGTCACAATTCTCAAGTTGAAACTGGAACCCTGTTTCGCATTTGAGTTATCTATTAGGAGCATTAGGGCTGTGGTTAAATGCAAGATGAACTGCTTGAGTACAATTTGAAATTCATGTCCCTGTATTACGATTTACTGACTTGTTGATGCATGTACATTGAGTGCATTTTGTTTCCACTGTATGTTAAATGATGACCAATGTTTTTACAAAGACAAATTGAACAACAACAGAAAATCTTTTAAGAAATTTGGAATGTGGTCTTGATTTTGAAATTAGATTCATTTCCTTAATTGCAGAGGGCCCTGGTTATCCCATCAGTATAGGAAATAGGATCAATTGGCACAGAATTGTTAAAAGGGTTGTGGAAATGTCCCTGAGAATGACCTAGAGTTACTGACCATCTTCTGAAGCTCACATCCGAGATCTGACATTTCAGATGGGCATGTGTGGCAGAGATTCGAAGTTCCTTAAATACTTGCACCTCATGTTTTATTCCTTTCTCTGTGCCATGACTTTGGGAGGGAATGGAAACATCTGCATAACAAAAGTTTGTGGAAACCATTTGAAAGGAAGGTTTTATTTTTTTAATTTTAGAAATTCTTTTTTTGCCATCATAGAGCAGTGTACTCCATGACTTAGCATCATCTTCGTGGACATTATTACTGAATTACAGTGCAGCACCTTGGAGATCTGGCATTCTGCATGGATTTTGTTTACATTTCCCCCCCATATTTTGCTGCGTTCCCTTCTGCCAACTGCTCTGTCTCCCTAATAGGCTGCTGCCCAGCTCTGTGGACTTAGGAACAAGAGAACTTGTCCAACCATAAGTTATTTGGGAAATAACAGAAATCAGGCTAATGGATCATAAGTGTTATCTGTGCATTAATATAATAACTAAAGTTAATGCCCTTAATTTATTAAGCCCCTGTTTATAGCTATGTACTATAGTGCTCTATACATATTATATCATCTAGTCACAGTACTTATTATATTAATTTGGTGCTGTTATCATCCCCACTTTAAACTGGATAAGTTGAGGTTTGGAGAGGTCAACTGCCTGTGACATAGTGTCAGAGCCGGGGCTGGAGCTTTGAGTATAAAGGTCATGATTGTTTTTAACCACTCTGCACAATTTTTATCCATTGCACAAATTTGTAACGTCTTTTCTCTGCTTAAATTCCTCTCTACCTCCAGACGCTCAGTCACTTTCTCATCTATAGTCCACAGACATTTTTTATAATCTGAAGAGTCATTTAATAAATCCTGTGTGTTTGACTGCATAACCGCATACTACATATTAGTCTAGGTACTTTAGAGAAACAAATCCACAGCAACTCATGTATAAGAGAGTTTTATGTAAAGAAAGTGTGCATCATGAAAACATCCCAACCCAATGCTGCCCAAGCCCACAAGTCCAACATTAACCCAACACCAGTCCACAAAGTCCTCCACCTCACAAAACAGGCAATGATGCCGACTGCAGGAGGAAAGCTGAGTCAGTGAACGGATATGCATCTCAGCACTAGCAGGGGTCTCTACACGGCTGCTCCAGCACCCAGGACTGCATCGGGATAGGTCCATGTAACTTCTCCTTGGGGATGTCTAGTAGAAGTCAATCTTGCAAGCTGAAGCAGGGAACTGCTAAGGCAGCTGCACCCTGGTGCGACCATCACAAAGCAAGAGACCCGAGAACTAGAAAGGCGAGGCTCACCACTCATTTATCCCTCTGCCTTTCAATTAACCCCACATGTGATTATGGGCCAGGTTGGCACAATTAACTAACTCAACGTGCTAGTAACTTGAACTCTGTAACACTCAGGATGCAACAGTGACAATCAGAGCATCTTTACCCCTCTGGAGCTTGTTCTTTGTGGGGCAGGGAGTGGGGTCAAGTGGGGAAAGAGCACACAGAAGCAAAGATCCATTCAGAGTTGACCAAACATAACAGGTTTGTGACCATCTCTCAATACTTTCTATGTCCTAAGCCAAAGCTTTCCAAACAGTTTTATGTCTCTCAGACTCCCCTTTGCTGTCTGGGAAGACATTGAGACCCCCCCAAAAAAGCTTTTGTTTATGAGGGTTACATAAGTATTTGCCATCTTTGAAATGGAAATTTAGAAATTGCTAAAATAGATAGAAATAACAATTCTTTTTACTGTTACTAATATCTCTTATGAGAAATGAGCATTTTCCAAAGTAAGCATAGCATTGCTTTATGTCTTTCTCAATGTCTGATACAATAGAAGATGATTGGTTTCTTAAATCAATTTCTGAATGCAGTCTGGGTGGTGAAGTGGGTTAAGCACTGGGTGCTAACCAAAAGGTGGGTGGTTAGAACCCACAGCCATCTGCTTCCCTAATGATTTTTGCAGCCTTGGAAATCCCATAAGACAATTCTACTCCATCCTATGTTAATAAGCATTGAGGTCAAAGTGGCAGTTTGGTTTTGTTAGGTTTTTTTGATGTGCAAGAGGAAAAAGGTTGTGGAAAAATGGAATGAAAAGATAATAGACTTTTTCCGTGACCTTTTTGAGGTCCCCCATATATACGAAAGCATTCTAGCCTCACCTAGGTAGGTTGTTGGAAAAAGGATGAATATTTTCATAAGGCCTTTTAAGGTGATTGTGGGTCTTATCTTTGAACACTGCACCAAAATCGAAACAAGAGACTCTCCAAAAGGTTAGTTGCAATGTAGAATCTGAAACCCGGCCAATGAGATTTTATATTCAGTTATGTTAAAATCTATTAGTCTATCTTGCTGTTGGATCTTTTCCTTGCATGATTTCACACGAGTAAGTATTTGGGAAATAAAGGTTCACTGATCTAATGCAGATCTTCCAAATGTTAACACATTCCATTATGTGAAAATTTTAAGTTTAAAGATCACTTTAACATTGATCCTAGCCGATCTTGAGAAGCTGTCAAGCTCAAGGGGCAGATACAAGGTTTTCGACACGCTGCTTTTCACCTGAAAGCTTAAGTTTCATCATGGGCAACAAATACTGTCAGTATTTTTCCTTGAAGTGACGGTTCAGCCGAGTTCATTTTCAAGAAATGGGGCAGCAAATAGCCCCAGTCTGGATAGCCTGAGGACATTCTAAGTGCTTTCCTCCAAGACATCGTTCCAGAAGGACTCTGCACTTTCCAGTCTTCTTCCAGCATATCCAGGAGACCTCCAGTCACGAGTCAAGACTTCCTGTTGACTGCTTCACCAAGGGCATTGGGTGAAAGGGCCTCTTTTGGCTCAGCTGGGAGTGAATGATAATGAAGAATGAAGTGACGACTTCTGCCTCGATTCATTCTTGAAGTGCTGGTGCTTTTACCCATCGTTGCTTCAGCACCGAAGTGCCCGTGTCACCACATGAGAAAGACAGCATATGATGAAAGTAGTTTCGACCTCGCATACGCACTAGAAATGTTCCAGTGGCTCACGAGCACCCACACACCGCTCTTCCCAACTGGGAATTGCTGATCTGATCCCTCTATTAGATGAGGTGTAGATCCAAGTCACAAAACCTCAAAGCAACAGTAGCTGAAGCATGGAAATGCATCCACCTTGTAAGGCTGGTATGGAATAAGGGTTATGTTCCCCAAAGCTGTCAGAGGCTCAGACTCCCACATCTAGCTTTGTCAAAGTCCCTTCATCTAAGATGACTTCCCTGGGTCCAGTTGTCACATTTTATAGAAGGAGGGATGGAAAGTAGGAGCATGTGCCACCTGACCGTGCTTATTACACCTCTGCCACATGAACACACAGCTGAAAGACACTTGGAAACGTCTCCATTCTGAATGACTAAGTGTAGCCAACAATGGGAAGAAGAGACGTTTGGGACCATTTCCTGTCTGTCACAATACACCTCTAGCTCAAGTATGTGTGCCTCCCCTTTCCAGTGTGGAAGATGCTTTCCCACAAGACTGTCCAGTGCCTGCATCACCCATTCTCTATAGGGGCTAAAAATGGTTCTTTAGTATTTAGTGAATAAATGAAAAAAGCTGAAAATATCAATTTCTATACACTCAGCAGGCAATTCAGAGAGGAAGAATGGGCAACACAGGTAGCAATTTCAAATCCACCACCACCACCCGCAGCCAAACAGCTGGATAAAATAATGAACTCATTTATTTGGAAGCAGTGGATATGAGTCATAAAAAACGGAGAGGAGTTGACCTTGGGAGGTGCTTCTGGTCAAGAGATATCTGACAATTCTAATTGTACACCGGAGGCCAATTTTGTATTTCCTTTTTAAAAAAATCACTTTATTGGGGGCTCCTACAGCTCTTATCGCAATCCATACATACGTTATATCAAGCACATTTGTACATTTGTCGCCATCATTTTCAAAACATTTTCTTTGTACTTGAGCCCTTGGTATCAGCTCCTCATTTTCCCCCTCCCTCCCTCATGAACTCTTGATCATTTATACGTTTTTTTTTTTCATGTCTAAAACTGACCGATTTCTCTCTTCACGCCCTTTGCTGTTTGTCCGTGCCCCCTGGGAGGGGGTTATATGTAGATATTTGTGATCGGTTTCTCGTTTCTCTCCCCACCTTCCCCTTCCCCTCCTGGTCTCTACTCTCATTATTGGTCCTGAGGGGTTTATCTATTCTAGATTCCCTGTGTTTCCAGCTCATATCTATGCCCGTGTACATGCTCTGGTCTAGCAGGATGTGTAGGGTGGAATTGGGGTCATAGTGGAGTGGAGGAGGAAGCATTAGAGAACCGGAGGAAAGTTGTATGTTTCATCGGTGCTATTTTCTAAGATGAAAGTAGGCCTGTTATGTTCCCTCAAGTGGCTTCCGACTCAGCTGCTCTACAGGATAGAGTAGCTGCCTCAGGGTTTCCTAGGCTACAATCTTTGTGGGAGCAGGTCTTTCACGTGACTACTGGTAGATTCAGGTCTCGGACTTTAAGTTAGCAGCTGAGTTCTGACCCACGACACCACCAGGGGCCCTGGACTTACTCCTAAGGACAGACAATCCAACAGAGCTTTTGGTACAAACGTCTCACAGAAAACAGAAACCCACACCCAAACCGAGTGCTGTGCTCTGAAAGCAGCGAATACCAGAAAGATGTTTGCTTGTGTTTTATCGACGATGTCAAAGTATTCCCCTGTGTGGATCCTAACGGACTGAATAGCATTGAGGAGAATGGGAAGTCCAGGACACTTACTTGTGCTAATGTAGAATCTTACTTAGATCACACCTTTCCAGATTTTAAACCACGCGGTATTCCCTCATTCTGTTTGTACG